CCGGGCCGGGCGCCCCTGACCGCGCTGCCCCCCCCAGGGCGCTGGCCACCTCCTTCGAGGGCAAGCACGGCAGCGTGCGCTACTGGGTGAAGGCCAAGCTGCACCGGCCCTGGGCTGTGGTCAAGGCGGTCAAGAAGGAGTTCACAGTCATCGAGCCCATCGACATCAACACTCCTGCCCTGCTGGTGAGTGCCCCCGGCCTGCCAGACGGCCCGCCTGTGCGTGGGGTGGGCGGCCGTGGGCTCCGGCCGGGGCTGACCGCCCGCCTGTCCCTGCCCGCAGGCTCCACAGGCCGGCGCGAAGGAGAAGCTGGCCCGGGCCTGGTACTGCAACCGCGGGCAGGTCTCGGTGACCGCCAAGATCGACCGCAAGGGCTACACCCCAGGTACGGGAGGGGTGGCGTTCGGGGTCCTGCCCTGCTGCGGGGGGGTCCCTGGGCCAGGCGGGCGCGGGCCAAGCCCATGTGACGCGGTGCCCCCGCCTGCAGGCGAGGTCATCCCCATCTTTGCTGAGATCGACAACGGCACGTCCCGCGCGGTGGTGCCCAGAGCCGCCATCATCCAGACGCAGACCTTCGTTGCCCGTGGCATCAAGAAGCAGAAGACAGTGGTGGTGGCCAGCATGGCGGGCGACCCTGTGGCCGCGGGCAAGAGGGATGTGTGGCACGGGCGTGCCCTGAAGATCCCCCCCGTGGGCCCGTCCATCCTGCAGTGCCGTGTCCTGCAAGTGGAGTACAGCCTCAAGGTAGGTGCCTCGGGTTGCCCCCGTGCAGGCAGTGCCTCCCAGCGCTGCTCGTTGGGCTCGGGCACGAGGCGTTTCCTGGCGGAGCTTTGTGCAGAAGTGACCGGCCCCACTGCCCCCCTCCAGGTGTGTGTGGATATCCCCGGCACTTCCAAACTGCTCCTGGAGCTGCCCCTGGTCATCGGCACCATCCCGCTGCACCCCTTCGGCAGCCGCACGTCCAGCATCAGCAGCCAGTACAGCATCAACCTGGACTGGCTCGGCGTGATCCCTGAGCAGCTCGAGGGTGAGTGCCCGGCTGTGCCGGGGCAGGGAGAGGAGCAAGTGCTGTCGGCCTCCGGGCTCTGGGTGTCTCGGTGCCACACTTTCTGGGCAGGGGCGGCTGTGTCCGCGTGCAGGGATCGCCAGTCCCGTCTGACCCCACGGTGCTGTGGCTCTTTCCAGCTCCCCCGGAGTATTCGGCCGTAGTGTCCAGCGAAGACAGTGCCCTGAGCCTGTCCCTGCCCAGCCCCGCGGGGTTCGGCCCTGTCCTGGAAGGCCCCTTCTTCCCCTACATCCAGGAGTTCCGGTACCGGCCGCCTCCGCTGTACTCCGAGGTGAGCGTGCGCCTGGCGCAGCCGGGGGGGCCCTGGGGCGCAGGTTGCTGGTGCCTAATGCTTCCTGCTTGCCCCTCCCAGGTGGATCCCAACCCCGCCACCGAGGGCATCCGGCCACGCTGCATGACCTGCTGAAAGACGCGCTCGCACTGCTGCTGACTGCCACGAAAACCCTGTGGGGATGAGAAGCTTGTGGGCTCCCCCGGCTTCTCCTGGAGCGGGAGAAGCACCCGAGAAGCGCTTGCGAGACGAGAGCGCCTGCAGCACCAAGATCCTGCCCCTGCTCGCTGCTCTTGCAGCCACTCCTGATGGGACAGGGCTGTCCCCTGGACTGACATCGTGCTCTGGAGCTGGAGGGTGCTGGGCCTGGACTTGCCCTGCCTGGGGCAGGTGCTGTGTGCCTCCTAGGCAGAGGAGGGTGGAGAGTGGCAAATACTTCTGTAAGGCTGTTGGGTTCTCCCGGGCAGTGTCTGGCTCCGTCGAGACAGTCTCGGCGCTGTCCTGCTCCAGCAGACTCCTGTGATGGAAACCCAGCCCTGGAGGGAGTTCTCTGGATCCCTGGAAGGAGCATGGGCTGGTCATGCCTGGGTGGCACAGGGGCAGCCTCTGCCTGCCGCTTTCTTAGGACTGCACGGGGCTCGGGGTTGGGGCTGTTCCTCATGTCCCGCCGTGCAGGGCCCTGCTGTTCTGTGCCTGCGAGCCTTAAGCTGTGCTGGGGCTGCCTGCTACGGGGTCCGTGAACCGCATTGGGGCTCTGCATGGGTGGAGATGCCTCTGATGCCAGGAGGTGCAGGGGCCAGGAAGCTCTCTGGGGAACTCTTGTGCCACAAGCAGCCGCCGAGCCTGTGCTGGTGCCGCTGGAACTGCCAGCTCCGGCTGCAAAGGTTGAAAGAGAGGCCGGACATGCCGGTGGTGGCAGCCGGGCAGATGGCAGGCCCGCGTGCCTGTGGTGCCGGGTGTCCTGCAGCGGGCGCTTGGCCTGGGAGGAAAGAGCGGAAGTCCCACGCCGTGCACCTGCAGCCCTGGGCTCGCTGCCTTGTATCCTCGGCGCTGCCCTACGGACGGCAGGAGCAGCTCTAGCAGCGCTGGGCACTTCAGGGGCAGGTGGCATCGTGATGCTGAAGCCCGGGGGGAAGGAGAGGGGGGGTTGCGTGGGTGCCTGGGTTCAGGCTGGTCCCTGTGAGACGAGCCCAGCGCTGCGTCCTGCTCCCCCTGCCATGGGACAAATCTGCCTGGCTGCAGCTGTGGCTGCGTGGCCCTGCAGGGAGCCATCGCCAAGTGCCTCACCAGCTCGCTTCCACAGCAGCCCGCCAGCTCTGCTGAGGGCTGTCCAGGCTGCTTTTGAGCTTCCTGGAAGTGTTTTATAAAGAATACTTTTTTTTCTTTGTAATGTTCCTACTTTTGTACCATGTAAGATTTGGAAATAAAAGCTAGAAGAAAAAGGCTAGCCACGGCTCTCTTCCCTCCTGGTCCTACTCATCTGGGGGTGGCAGGGGGGTGTTTTTTGCCAGGCTCCCACTTCCCTGGGCAGCTGGCACCCCTAGGAGCCAGCCCCTCATCCGGTCCTGGGCCCTGGCTCCTGGCCAGGGGTGGTGGGGGAGGATGGGGAGTGCCTCTCCTGCCTTGCCCGCGCACCTTGTCCTCTTGCCTGTGAGAAGCAGCGCGGGTGTCCCTGTGCACCAGGAGAAAATCACAGCGCTGTGGGCAAGCAGGGGGGATCCATGCCCAGAGTGCTCAGCCCTCAATTTGGGCGTGGTGCTGAGCAGTTCAGGCTCTTGCCATGTGCCTGCCTGGGGCAGGCGTATGCTGGGCTGAGGTCCTCGCTGCAGCTGCCTTGGCTAGGCAAGACCCTGCCTGGACGTGGCCTGAGCGAAGCCACATGCCCCGCTGGAGGCTGGAAAGCCAGGACTGGGGCTGTTCCAGGCCCAGGGAGCCACGTGGGAAGCGGCTTCGGTGGTGGAAACATGCCACGGGAGGGCAGAAACAAGGAGCTAGGGTCCTGGGGGCCGTGTTAGCCCACGTGAGAGCTCTGCTCCCTGGCCCAGGCTGGACACCCAGGACAGGCCGCGGCGTGTCCTGATCCGGGCTGGCCTCGCGCCCCTGGGAATCTGGCCAGCCCGGGCAGGAGGGCGCGGGGTCCCTGAGGGTGTCCTGTAAAGCGATCTGAGGGCGGCGGGCACGCGGCAAGGACATATCGTCTGTGCTTCCAGGTGCAGGAGGTGTCTCACTGTACAGCGATGAAAATACCCCGGTGCTTATATATAGAGCTGCTATATATAAGCGAGGGCACGGCCTGCCAGAAGGTGTGTGCCTGCCCTGACGGGGCAGGCCGGCCCCAGGAGGACGGGTTTCGTAAGACAGAAACTGCGGATGGGGGTTGGTGCTTTGAGCCGTCCGGCCCCCCAGCACCCCAGGCTGCCATCACAGCCTCGACCCACGGCCGCTGCAGGGCTTGTAGGTTGGTTGTTGAGTGCCACCGAGGGCAATAATGTTGACATCCGGTTCCAGGAGCCGAGGGAGTACTTGCAAGAAGAGCCACCCTGGCACGGGCGTCCTGCCCGGCCTGTTGGCCCGGGTTGACTGTGGCCGTGGCGTCACGCAGCCCCTCGCCGGGCAGCACCAGCGCTGAGTGGGGAACGCGCCGGCGCTGCACCGCTGCTTCTGAGGGCCGTGTCCCCCGGATGCTGGAGGTCTTTGGCCCAGGCCCCGGTTCCCCAGGGCAGGAACTGCATCGCAGCCTCCACTGCAGTGCACAGGCACACGCAGGGCCCACGGCAGGTCCTGGGGCATGGCGAGCCGCAGGTTCCCACCGGCAGCTCCCGCGAGGTCTGCCCAGGCCTGCTGGGCACTTGCTTGGGCGCCTCTGTGGGGCTGCAGGGCTGGCTCTGGCAGGTGGTGCCGAGCTGCAGCAAGGGGCAGATGCCGCTGTGCAAGGCACCTCTTGCACAGCCTTGTGCAAACGTGCGTGGTGCTGGCAGGAGCACGCCGAGCCCTGGCCCTGGCCCTGGCCCTGGCCCTGGCCCTGGCCCTGGCCCTGGCCCTGCTGAGGGGGCGAGTTATGCAAGCACGGGGCCCAGCGTATTTATAGCGCGTGGCCCGGCTGCAGGGAAGAGCCTTGCAGACCCCCAGCACGGCCTGTGCCCGAGCGGGTCCGTGGGCTCCCGTGCCCTTTGCACTGTTTTTGTGCAACACTGTTTATCCTGCTGGTCTTTGCCCCTATCGCCTCCCCGCAGCCCAACCTGACCCAGGGCAAAGCCAGCCCCAGCCCCAGCCTCAGCCCCGCCAGGCTCCCTGCGCAGCTGCCTCCAGGAGGCGAAGCCTGGATCTGGCTCCAGCTCCGGGTCTGGCTCCTCAGGGTTGGGGGTTGCAGAGCTCTTGGGGTTCGAGCCCTGCTGCCCCAGGCCAAGGAGCTGCTCTCGTGTCCCCAGACCTGCCCCCGAGCCCCGTCCCACAGTACCGCTCCCCCGGTCTGCAGTGCCCCACGCGCAAGCGAGCGGGTCCCCCCGCTCTGCAAGCAGGACAGGCCCGGCAGGGACCTGGGGCCGGGCTGGGCATGTGTGCCCCCAGCAGACCCCAGTGGCAGCTTCTCCCCTTGGCCGGGGCAGGGGTCAGGGGCCGGGGGCCCCAGCTGCTGCCCAGGAGCACGACGGGGCAGCATGATCCCGGGTCCCGCAGCACCTGCGGGCGCTCCCTGCTCTGCCAGGCCCGGGTCAGAGGCTCCCCCCGCCGCAGGAGGTGGGGACAGCCTGTGTGCGCACCCCCGGCCCCCGCCTGCTCCCAGCGCGTGGCCCCGGCGCAAGTCTTCCTCTTTCCCGGGAAGTAAACAAGCAGCTGCCCCCGCGTGACCTCCCCCGGCCCTCGGCTATCTGGGTCCCCGGGGGTGGCTGGGCGTCCCAGCCATGTTCCTTTGAGGTCACCGCCCTCCCTGCAGGAGGGTCAGGCCCCCCGGCCACGGGCAGGGGCCTCGGCACTGTCCGCGCCCCGGGAGCGTGGCCCGCGGCGAGGGCGAGGCGGCGGGACAAGCCGTGGCGCGGCGGGGGCCGGGCAGGCGCTGCCTGCAGATTGCAGCGCTGGAGCCCGTCCAGCTCCCGCGGCCCGGGATAAACAAGCTGCTCCCAGCTGGGCCGGCCCGCCAGCTGCTCAGGGCTCCTGGGGGCCGAGCAGGAGGGCCAGGCCTGGCCATGTGGGGCCAGGCGCTCTCCCAGCTGCTGCCCCTTGCACTAGCAGCCGGCCCCCGTTCCCTGCTTGCACGGAGCTCGCACGCTTCATCCGGGGCTGTGGTTTCACGCGCTGCTTTTACTGATAACGGGCTCCAGGCGCGGGCACGGCCCTGACCTTGTGCACTCGTGCAGATGTGGGGGCTGGATCCTCCGCCTGGCTGGGGACGAGCTGCCGGCAGTGGCTGCAGTTGCCTCCCCCGGGGTCAGCGCTCCCATGTCCCACTTAGCTCCATCCGGGCCAGCCGGGAGAGGCCCCGGTGCCCCCAGGCCAGAGCAGCTTCCCATGCTGCAGGGACGCCTGGGGCTGGCCACGGAGCGCGTCCCCGTGGGAGCGGGTGGTGCCCTCGTGGGCCCCTATGTGCACGTGCCAGAGGGGCATGGGGCCGTGTTTCCAGCTGTGCCAGATGCACAGACGAGGTCGGTGGCTCTCGGCTGGGAGCCCTCCTGCCCAAGCCAACAGGAAGCGTGAGTGCGCGGGGAGCAAGCAGCTGGGCCGGGCCGAGGGTCTGCCCTGCCTGCCAGGCCCGGGGCAGCCTGCTCCTCTGTGTAGCTGGCCGGCCCGGAGACCGGGCTGCAGGTAGCTGACCGCACAGGATCATCCTCCAGCAGCATCCTGCCCTCGCTGTGGCACTGGGGGCTGGCGGCGCTCGCGCGGCCTGGGCTCCGCGCCCCATGTCTTGGCCGTGCGGCAGGTTGGAGGTGGGGGCTGCTCTGCAGGGCCAGCGTCTCGGTCCCCTCCCCACACCCAGCACGGAGCGCTCCTGTCCCTCCTGTTCAGCCGGTCTGGGCCCTGGGGCGCAGGAAGGGCTGCTGGGCTGCGGTGCTTTCCCAGCCAACCTGGGGCCGGTGGGAGCCGTTTGCTGCTCGGCCTGTTGATGCCCTGGGCCCTGCTTGGCCCGGGGTCTCCCCTTTGCACATCGCGCATTGTGCCTGCTTCCAAAACAGCCCCTCGCCCTCGTGCCCTCACCCTGCGCCCTGCCGCTGGCGGTGCGGTGCGCCCGCCCCAGGCTGCCCCTGACCCGCACGCTCGTCGTTTCCTCTGGCAATGGAAAATTTTTCCAGCTGTTGACTCCTGCCCAAGTGTTTTGGAAGCTGGAGGAGGCCGAGCCGGTCGCACAAACATGTCTATGGATAAACACGAGGGCTTTGCGAGGCAGCGGCTGCCGCAATAACAACCACCCTGCCGCCCGGGGCGGGAGCGCTCTTCCCACTGCGCTCCCTGCGTGGGGGGCTGCTTCTGGGGAGGCTGCGCGAAAACAAGGTCTCCGGTTACGGAGCAGCCTGCTCTCCGCTGCACGCCGGCTGCCAGCGCTGGGCCCGCCGGGGGTGCGGGAGCGTAGCGGCCCCTGCGCCTGCCCCAGCGCTGTTGTCCACCCTCGCATGCTTTATTGGGCAGCTGCAGACCTGGGGATGGGCGATGCGTCTCCCCCTGCCCCGCGGGTGGGCGGCAAGGTGCCCAGTGCCTGGGCTGACCTAGGGCTGGGCAGTGACACGGGTGAATAATCCCAGGGGAGCGGGGGAGAGGCGCGTGCGGGGCACTGGACATGGCACCAGGGCTCTCGCGGCTCCTGGCCCCGGCCCCCTCGCGCAGCGTGGAGC